ATTAGACATATAACTTTTTTTTTCTCTATCAATTTGCTGTGTAATTCAGTGAGTGACAGGTGTCCAGCCAATCACACAATATGATGCAATGACGCTATGCAGACAATCACGGCATTGACAGTACTTACGCCTGTTCTCTACAGTGCGGTGGCGATAAATGACGCTAATGCTAATCCCTTATCGTGGCGAAACGACCGGGCAGTAAATGTGATACGTCGACTCCCCTATCCAAAATAAGAATGAACTGCAGTTCTTTTAAGTTGGAATGGCTGTCGGAGTATGTGCAAATAAAACAAGCAGTGAAACTGGGTGAGATCTTTTCTTTTTCGAGTGAGAGAGGATGCTCTGCAAAACATGCAGCAAAGCTAAAGTTTTAAGCGAAAAATATGGATTAAATGGAAGCTGGACTACCTCAAGCGACACATTCAGCAGAAAAGTCATTTGAATGATGTTGGAATTATACAAAGACTCACGGGAAAAAGGATTGGTACAATATTGCGGGAGAGTGCAAACAACCGGGGATAAAAAGAACCAGCTGCCACACAGAAAAAAATCCAACCCTGACCAAGTTAAAGTTCTAATTGACTATATTTTACTGGCCATTAAAATGAATGCACCAAATATTGGATTGATGTTGATTTGATTCCTATTCAATGTGTTATAGCGTTATTTTTCAATGTCAAAAAAACGTTTACAGTAACAATATAACAATTGTTTAAATACGCTTTTTTCACATTTTCAGGTATGGGTGTGCCACGGGATTTTTTTTCAAGGAATGAAATGTGCCTTGGCTCGAAAATGATTCAAAAATACTGCACTGGATAGAGCTACGCTTTCTGTGTATTGAGCCCTGGCTGCGGTTGCGTTATGCATCCACTCGATAGCGCTTCGCTAAAGGGAATGCAATACAATACGGCTTTATTTACTGTATAAAGAGCCTTCACAACCGCTGCAACTGCCTCCAAGAAATCAGACACACAGCATGTGCCATCATTATCCTTTTCTTCGTGTGAATGAATACCGTCGGGTGTCCGTAAGGTTCCGGACAGAATCGGACACTTCAAAGGTAGACTCAGGAAAGTTGATCTAACAAAAATCTTCATTTACAAAAATAGGCGCAAGGCCAGGTCGACAACGTACAAATAATGGCAATGGACAACAAGCCAAGAATAATGCAAAGAAAACAAAGAGTGCTCGCACAAGGCAAGGAAAAAACACAAAAGAAAATAGCTTGTGACAAAAGTACAAGAAAGATCAAACCATGTGGAGAACAAACCGTGGACACACTTAAACACACCAAGAACTACTTACTTGAACAACGAAGAACGTAGGCAAAGGCAAAGAGCCCGCCCCCCCCTCCCAAAAAAAAGAACAGAGAAAACAAATCAAGGCAAGAGCCTAAAACGGAACGAGAGTAGTAAGGGAGCGTCTCGACGAAATGCACATGAACAATAACTTGAGCAAGGCGAAATTATATGACAGCGTCACACAGATGCGCAGCAGAAAAAACGGGAACACCTGCTGGACACTAATAGAACGTGATCATAACAAATACACGCTGTAAAAATAAAGGTAGCAGGAAACTATTGAACGTGTTACGCTAAATATTCTGGACATCAAAGGTGATAGTTTGCTGTCGTTTAGATGTGTATGATTGCCTGTGGATTTTATTTGTTTTGTCAGTGACTAATTTCACAATAGCCAACGACAGCCACAGCGTTTCACCAACTGTTCATTCACCTTTGACTGGACAGATTAAACACTAACTACACATTACATTAATAAGCAGGTATATGTGTTAATTTAAAAAGAATATACAGTGTAATTATTTGTGGATTTAGGCATGCATATTAAGCTATTTCTCATGCAATACAGACAGGAGCTAAGCTGTTAATGAAAGTCTCGTGTGTGTCTAAAGAACAATTGTCTTGTAATAGCAGTTTAATTCCTTATATTCATCACATTAACAACAATTGGACAGTTAAAGATTAAGGAATATTTATCATTTATACAAAATGCACTGAAGTTTGGTTGTTTTCCCAATCTCATATGCAGTGTACGCGTGTGTTTCCAGGGTGGTTACGCTGCCTACAGATTTGCCCAGCCTACTGCTGCCACAGCAGCTGCATACAGTGACAGGTAAGATTACAGAGTTCTCCAAAAGCACTCAAAGTAATCATGTTAGAAACAGTGCATGTTATGGCGTCAAATGAGCTGGGAAACTTCCAGCCTCAATTTCACTGTAATATTCAATCCTTTGGATATTGCCAAAGATAGAGTCAATCAATGGCAAAACTAAGTAACAAACTTGAACTGGTGGATTAAAAATAACATTTAAAAATATTAATGACAAAAACATTTTGAGAGATGTGAAGAAGTCCCCAACTGGTGGTAACATTAGCATCAACCTCCACATGGCAGGAGTGAAAAACGGGCTCTCACACTTACAGTATGGACACCTTTGCACCTCCTTCAGAATCCACGCACCCACACACACACACACACACACACACACGTGGGCCCGTTTTAGCCACTAGTTAACCCTTAACTCCCAGTTATATTCCTAACCCGCTGTTTAGCTCATTCTTCAGGGGGGTTGGGAGGGGTGGAAAAAGACAAAAGCCAAACAATCCTGAGTTACACTAGAAAAAAAATAATCATGAATTTTCCTGCTGACAACGAAAACGTATGTACTTGAAGCCAGGGTGCACGCTCCCCGTTTGCCCATTCACCAATGATGAGTTGAAACGGAAAGTGGCATTGTAAATATTATTGCCAGTCCAGCGAAGAGCTAAATATATGTCCAGCAAAACTGCCCCGGGAAAACCCTCCAAGAAAGCCCAAATGACGAAGCACAAGTGTCTTACGGCAAATAATGTGAATAATACAACAATACTCGATATGATTGACTACCATATAACCAGTGGTGAAAAAAAAATTTCTCACGTTGGATGTGGTCAAAAACTGTTTGGTGTGGCAATCCCTGTTACATAACTACACAGGGCCCACGTAATTACTGGGAGAGATAGAGTGCCAGTAGGAGGGAATGCTAGGATGGGGCATAGAAACAGCTGCGCATTCTCTATAAACCGCAATCATTTAGCAAATATAAATGCCCAAAATGATACATGTTGGGCATTAAATTAAAGGGGTCAGTCAAGAGAGAGAGAGAAAAAAAATATGGCTCAATATCAGTGGCGGGCCGTGCATTTCAACCTTAGGCCTTCAGTGACGTCACATACATACACAATATAGGCTCGTCAAGCAGCACTTAATTTCAGGAGCATTTAAAACCATCACAATTAAGAGCAGGAAACTAAATTTACAGATAGTCGAAAATAAAAAGATGATTTAAAAATACGAAATAAAATGCCACCCAAATTACGTTGTGTGATCTTCAACAAGTCTGTCCAATAAATTGCGCAGTGTCGCAGTTTCATATAAGACACCAACCAAACAATAACAAAACAAACTATTCTTTGAAAATAAACAGATCATTCGCATTTTGAAAATCGGCGATACAACAGCAAATAACTGACATAACTGACTAACTAATAACTGACTAACAGCTGAGATTGAACGAACTTTCGTGCACGAAGGTGACTACAATGCGCCATTATAAATTGCAGGTGAGCAGATTTATTTGATACACGTTTGTCATTTTATTTCGTTACCATGAATTTAATACTAACGATTGAAAATCGGCGATACAACAGCAAATAACT